TCTACTGCCTCAGCGTCCTCTAGCAGCTTAGCTGGTTCGAGCGTCGTTTGGTGGAACCCTTTCTATTTCACCTTGTAGTATAGCTTACGCCCTCTCCTACGGCGGCGTACCTCTTCTGCTATAATGTCCTCTACCTCCCATTCATCTTCTCCGTCTACCTGTAGTGGCTGTGGCTGATAGTCGTCCTGAACCTGGTTTGGGAGGGGATCGTTGCTAGCGAGTTTCAACCGATCAACATGAAAAACAGGGTGTGGTCCTGGAGGTGTATCTAATTCGACTAAGTGGCTATTGATTACCTTCACCACTATATACTTAGCGTTCTTCCAGTCGAGCTTCTTTGAGCTTCGCCCTGTGCCGTACTGCTGATCGAGCTTCAGCCATACCTTGTCGCCTACTCGGTAGCTCTGTGCCTCTCTCCGAGTCTTGTTCGCCTGTCTCTCCTGTTCTTGTTGAGCAACCGCCATACCTGCCTGGGCTAGTTCTACGGCTTGTTGTAGCTTAACCGCGATCTCTGCTGCTTTCTGTTCGTCCGAAAGCTGTTCGGCTGGTTTCCGTTGTTGTCTTTCGTTGCCAAGCTCTAGCTGCAGCGGCTCTACCTCATGTCCATGCTGTAAGAAGAAGGGTGACATTCTAGTCGACGTTGCATTCCTGCCATTAATCGCAATCTAGGCCATCAGGCAGAGCCGTGCCCAGTCGTCCTGAGCCCAGTTTGTAAACGATCGGATATAGGTTTCCCAGACGCTGTTCATCCTCTCTGTTGCGCTGTCTGTCTGCGGGTGGTAGGCAGTTGATAGTCTCCGCTTGATCTTCAGAAGCTCGCATAGTTTAGCCTATAGTGTACTCACGAACTGGCTGCCTCTGTCGGAGGTAATAGCGTCTGGTAGCTAGTGATATGCAACCACGCGCTCGATGAACTTTTGGACGACGGTTTCCGTCTTCGTATCCAGGAGCGGTACGAAGATCGCACCCTTGCTGAGCCGGTCAGTGACCACCATCAGGCTAGTCATGCCTTCGCTCTCTGGTAGTCCTTCGACGAAATCTATGGAGATCTCCTTCCAGATCCGAGTGGGTATCGGCAGTGGTTTCAGAAGGCCTTGCGTGCCCTCTCTCCAGGACTTGCTCCGTCCGCAGGTGTCACAGTTTCTAACGTATCTTTGGATCAAATTAGTCATGCCTGGCTAAAAGTAGTCCCTTGCGAGAATCTTGTACGTTAGCTCGCGCCCTAGGTGACCAGTGACTAGTGAGTCGTGGGCACTGCTGATAATTGCCGTTCGCAACTTGTTGTTATTTGGCACCTACTTGCGCCCTTAGTAAAACAGGACTCCACTGTCTGCTAAGCAGTCTTTGATTAAGCACTTTAGGCCTAAGTTCACGGGGAAACGTCTCTCTTAGTCCTCTACTGCCTTCTTCGCTCCTTGGTAGACACGATCCTTCGCTGTCGCTTCTTGCCAGAGCTTCTCTAACTTATTCTGCTCTAGCACTTTTTTATTTAGTACTCTAGGAAGGAGCTAATCTGATTCTTCTCTAGATAGGGGGATAGCCTCCTCTTCCCGCTGCTGGCTTCGTGTCCTCGTTGCTATTACTAAGATAGCTTCTTCTAGTTCTTCTTCTATTACCTTCTAATAGGAGTTCGTTGGCTTAAATATTTGTACGAAGCGCTTCTGTAAGCGCTCGTCTTCTGCCCCTATAGGCAAGTCTTGTTCTCTTCTCAAGAGCGCGTTGGCTCTTACGTTCTGCTTACCTAGCCGATATAGCAGCTCTAGGTTGTATCTACCAAGTAAAAGCAACTATCTCACCTAACGTTCGTTTAGCATACGGGGTTTTATAAAGTACTCTAGATTCTTGTGATCTATAATTACCTTAAACTTCTTAACTAAACGCAGTTTAGAGTCCTATTCCTCAAGGCATCGTACTACCGCGAGTAACTCCTTGTTGTGGATCTCGTAGTTACACTCGTGCGCGCTATTCTTCTGCAAGAAGAACGCGTAGGGTTGTAAGACTCCATTATCACTATACTGCGATAGCACTCCGCCTACCGCGTAGCCGCTCGAATCGCACTCGAGCACTGTCTCCCGATCTAGGTCGAACGCCGCCAGCGTTGGCTCCATAACAAAGATCTCTTTTAGCTTGTCAAAGGCTGATTGCTCTTTAGGTCCCTATTAGAAGGGGACGTCGCCTGTAAGTCTAGTAAGAGGTGTGGCTAGCTATGCAAAGTTCTTAATAAACCTTTCGTAGAAGTTTGCGAATCCTAAGAACAATCTTACTCCCTTTACTGTCTTTAGTGCCTCCTACTCGCGAATTGCGGCTATCTTGGCTAGATCTATGCTTATCCCCTTGCCTGCTTCGATAATAAACCTAAGGTACTTAGTCGTCTTGACTTCAAACTCGCACTTCTTAATATCCACTTGTAACCCTGCGGCTTGTAGCTTACTAAGTACTTTTTAGACATGCTCTTAATGCTAGCGCAGATCGCTGTTGGTATAGATTAGCACGTCGTCTAGATAAGCTAAGTAGAAGTCGTCTAGGTGTTCTCTTAAGGTCTAGTTAATATATCGTTGGAAGGTACTTAGGGAGTTCGCTATGCTAAAGGGGGTAACTAGCCACTCGAACAATCCGAATCTCGTACGGAAGGCCGTCTTCCACTCATCGCCTGGTGCGACGCGGATCTTGTGGAAGGCTGCGATAACGTCCAATTTCGTGAACCACTTAGCCTTGCTTAAGCTATTGAGCGTCTCTTGAATAAGTGGTAATGGATACTGGTCCTTCTTTGTAATCGCATTTAGAGCCTAATAATTGATACATAGTTGGAGCCCTCCTCTAGGCTTCTTAGCGAACAATACTAGAGCTAAGGCTGGCGAGCTGCTTACGCGGATAAACCCTTTCTTAAGGAGTGACGTAAGCTCCTTTTAGAGGACTAGAAGCTCTCCGCGCGACATACTATAAAGAGGTCCCTATAGCAGTTAAGCATCCCTTAGCTCTAGCTTAATCTTATAGTCCACTCCTGACCCTTAGTGTGGTGGCAGCTTCTTAGCTTCTTTTAGGTTAAAGAGCTCGTAGAACTCTTAATACTACGCTAGTAGTAGTGCTTATACGTTTATAGGCTTCTTAGGTTATAGCGCCTTATTAATATCTACAATTAACGCGGCGAAGATCTAAACGCTGTTTAGAGCGTTTTTATGTCTGCGAACTAGGGCCGTAAACGCTGCGGCGTTGACTTAGCTAACTCCTCCTAGTAGAGCCCCTTTAGTTAACCTCACTTAAATGCCCTTTAAGTAGA